AATATAAAAAAAAATAATAATTGAAGAAACTAAAACTGAAGGATGTCGTTATTCAAAAAATACTCGTATTATAAAACCATTTGTTTCTTCGTATCTGTCAAAAGTAAATCATCACAAGGATGAAATACTAGAGATAGAGACTTGGCTTATATTATTTTTTTAATGACTTGCCATGAATTTTATTAAACTTATATATATATATATATAGAAAAAAAAGAGCATGCTAGCTTTTTTTCAACAATCCCCTGAGGTTCAGTTCATTATTCTTATACTGGCATCAAACAAGAGTTGTTAGAATCTTGAGGGATAGTCATTAGTATATATTCACCACAGGAATTCCAAACAATATTAGAATATACGAAGCAGGCTTAACATAAGCTTGGGCTATTTAGGAGCTGCTAATTGTGGCATTGCATTCTTATGATACACCCATTTTACGTGTGTTTTAACAATAGCAGTTTTGTGTTGTTGGAAATAAAATATTTTGAGGACTTTATTTTATCAAATGAAAAATCGGAAAAATGGTAGAAAATTATGTGATAATATAAATTATTGTAAATGATTTTCAGGTTTTATTTAGCCGTTCACTTTTATAATTTTTGAGAAATGCAATTTGAAGAAAAGAATTAGTGTGAAAAACAAACTTGTCCTTGTAATATAATTCAGATTATGCGTATAAACTAGAAGTATTCAGGTATTTTTAAGAGCATGCCTACTATACTGGACATGTTATATGTCCGTTTTCTGAATGAAATACGTAGTTTCAGCTACCTTTTAGAGATTTAAGGACAAAAAGAAAAGGATTATTCTGAGCAATTGCGATTAAAAATAAAAATGCTTAGTACATCAAGATGCAGTTAAATCTAAACTTGGTCTAGTATGGAAAAATGGAATGGCCACATCATTTAGAATTAAAGATTTCAACATATATAATACTGTTATTATTGTTAAGTCTTCTTTTACTGTTACTTTTATATTATGAAGCAGATATAAAAAATGATAAAGTATGAAACTGCTTGATAGTGATTAGGAGAAACAACGTACCTAGAAAATGGTAAAGAGAGCTTGGAAAATACTTTGAATTTTATCCTTTTAAAGCTTATAAACCCAGAGGTTAAATATTTTATTGCAGCTCTGTTAGTTACAGAAGATAGCATGCATCACATAGAAAAATAATGCATTGAACAGTTCTTCCATATCAATACATCATGCAGATATTTTCAATCTAAACTTGATTATCATATAGATATCTGTGTAAGCTTACTGGTATCAGTTATCATGTTCATTGAATACTGTTAAACTATTGGTTTGGACAATATTGTTTCTAATACATAGAGAGTTTTTGTATGTGGGTACAAAAATTAACAAGGTTGGGAGCTTAGGGTTGACATAGTTTGTTCACACATAAGTTATTAACGTGCACATATTTATGCCTATAGGAATTCTTATCTTAATGGTTAATCATATGTGCTGACTTGTTCAATCTTATTGAAAGTTAATTGATTTGTCCTAAAAGATGTTTTCTTAAACACGTGGTTTATAATTTTCTGTAAGATTTTTTTGGGGTGATATTTATTAACAGTTCTTAAATAACAACATTAACAGAAGTCAAATTTACTTTCACCAATGATAATTTTTGTGAATATGATAGTAAAAGTATTTTTAACTTAAGGTAGTTTCACTTTTTAACTTCTTAAATTAATATAAATACAGCTTGAGATTAAAGTTTCGGTTACTAATACTTTTAAATTGATATTCTTCTCCTTACAGACCTATTGGTGGGGTGTTATGATGATGCTGATTGGATTAGCTATCTTCATGGGTCTGTTTATTAAATGTTGTGCTGTTCATACACCAAGTAGTAATCCGAGAAAACCTCCTGCACTTCGTATCACAGACACCCTTAGGAGACCAGCGGATACACTCAGAAGAAAGGTTAATGTTCAGTTGATCTTATTTATATGAAATTGTGCAAGGCAGATCAAAATATTTTACTGGTTTGTTTTTCAGAATAACTTAATAGGGATAAAATGATTATACAAAATGTTGTTTGTAAATTTGAAGTTGAGGGGAGGTATTAAATTGACCGGTCTTTCTTTACTTTGGAAATAAATAATATAAATATAATTTAGTAGTTAATTTGAGAGTTTACAATTCAGTATGAAATATGATTGCTTCTGATTTGATGTGTTAACACCAAGTCTTCAGTTCGGTTTTTATATATATATATATATATATATACACACACACACACACACACACACACACACACACACACACACACACACACACACACACTA